TGAACACTTTTTATTTTTTATTCTTTTGGTACCGGCATCGAGCTTGGGACCCTGCACTTGTGAGGCAGGCAGCGAAACCACTGAGCTAAATCCCCAGCCTGTGAACACTTTTGATGTACATTGCAAAATTGCCCTACCCAAAGTTATTTGAATTTGCACTTGACTCTTCCACACACACGGGATGTTACTGTTGCCTCAATTACTAATCAAAAGGAACATTATTTAGTATGTTGTGGCTATTTATATTGTGATGTTTTAATTAATCTCTTCAGGTCCAAAGATTAGGGATTCCTTTGCTTTTCTTTTGGGAGGAATTGATAGTAATATAAGGGTATCCATGTGCCTCATTATTCATTTTTGCAACAGTGTTTATTGTTTGTGAAAAAAAGAAAAGGCAAGCCCTCATTAGAAACACTTGTTGCCCATTGTTTTAAATTTTTGCTGCCAGTTTTCTGAATCACTGCCCTGCCCTGTCATGAGTTAAATAAAATGACCTAAGAGGTCCTCTTGTGTAATTATAATAGCTAAACACAAGGGGTTTGGACCCAGAATTTCTCAGTTCAAATCTCAGTCCTATAGCTGTGTGAAAACTGCCTAAAACTACTTAAAAACCTCTGCCTCACTTAGCAAAAGCCTGTCTCAAAATAAAAAATAAAAAGGGCTGGGGATGTAGCTCAGTGCAAAGGCCTGGGATAGTACCACAGATGGAAAAAGAAAAAGTCTCTGCCTTGTTTTCCTCGTCTATAAACTGGAGATAATAGTGCAACTTCATAACATTTTTATATCAGTGAGATGAGTAAAATCCTTGTAACAATGCCTGGAATAAACTAAGTCCTCAATAGGCATTAACTATTAGCAATAGAGTTTTGTTTAACTCAATTTATAAATGAGGAAACTAAGGCTCATGAGGGGAAACAGGGCTCAAGTTCACCTATATTGCCTTTGGGAAGCATGTTTGCATCTTTGTTTACTTGGAGACCATGTTTGTAATAAAAAGAAAATTTAATTCCTACTTTACATGGAACTTCCTGTTTTACCTGTCAATCATTTAAATTAAGGTAGGATAGAAGAAATAAAGATAGGTAAAAGGAGACAAGGAAAATCATAACTAAAATTTGTACTTTTAGAAAGACTACAACTTGTAGGACCCAGTCAAGTTACCCAAGGCGATCCATGTCAGCATCCCCTTGGTTAAATGTAGGCTTTTCCTTCCAGACATCACACCCAAAATTCCTCAGGAATACTGAAAGTCCCTAAATTGGCTTAAAGAAGTAAGGAGCAGGAACCCGATCCGAAGATAAAGGAAGAGGTTGAGAGAATCCAAACAATATTTAAATTACCCATCTGAAAGAAAAGAAAAAAAGACTAGGACCACCCCTGTAAAATGGGCCTGTACCCTCTGGGGGTGGGTCGCCTTTTTCTGGGGTTTCCACCCCTCAAGAGAAGCATAAATAAATATTCCCTGTTCCAGGACATAAGGTGTCTCTCTCTTTTGGGGACCTACACTTTATTTCTTTGAGTACATACTTTTATTTTCTGCTTAATAATACCCTTCCCATGCCTCTTCCTAATCAGTCCTGAAAACTTTTTCTGCAAGAGTGGTCAGCAAACCCACAAGCCTACTCTACAAGTAGGGTGGGTTAGGTTCCTTTTCTCAGCTTCAAGAACTTCCTCAGACCCTGTCTGGTGACAGTACTAGAGAATTCTTCCCCAGCTACCTAATACATGTTTAGTGGTGGCAATAATTATGAAAATCAAGAAATTTAAAACAATTTAGGATATAGATGCATACACACACGCACACACACACACACACACATAAATCTTGACTGCTTATATCAAGTGAATATTATTTTTAAAAAATGAATGGTATCACTACTCAGCATGTTTTAAATTCTATAAAAAGTGACAGTCCTTAAGATATCAGAGCTGTTAGAACTATAAACACTTCTCAGGTCTCTCTTCAATATACCTTTCAAATTCTGACTTTGAGGGTCATTATTAGAGTTGATGTGATCATATATTTTGTTAGGTTGGGTTCACTTAAAGATCCAACCCTGAAAACCAAATCCAGGAAAGCTGGGCAGAATGACATCTCAAGGTTTATAGCCCTGCTGGTGGGCAGCAGAGATGACTATTTTCACTTCATGAAGGTTAGTGTGGGGAGCCAAGTGGATGTTTATAATGGTTCTGGGTGTGGGTAGTGACGAAGACTGAGAGACTGAAGGGAGAGTGAATTGTTACTAGCAATAAAAGACAAACCCTTCCAGAGAAATAATAATCATTATCACACAGGAAAGAACCTCCCTGGCCTGCAGTTCAGCCCCCTGCTGAGCGCTTACATAATGTTTTGTTTCCTTAGGAAGTTTCACAACCTCTTTTATGAACTGTTAATGTGTTTATTCAATCGTATGGTGGGGAAAGGTAACTAATTTTTAACTTTTGGCCCTGATAGGAACTAGCTGCAGATTCACTCCGTTTCTTTCACTCCTCATCACGGATTCCATCACAGTAAATGATAGATACAGAGATCAAAAATGCTTTATTGTCACTTTCACTTTATTAAGATATCCATCCTTATGAGTATTAAAATCTCAAGAATCTTTCTTCTTCATCATCAAGTCCATCATTTGTGTCATATCATGTTTGTGTCACAAACATGAGGCCGACACCCACCAGCCCAGCCCCATATTCAAACAAATATTTTTGAAGCTGGAATTTTTACTGGCTTCTGAGAGGAACGGAGGCCATTCCACACATCCATATGTGAAGAAGATTCTAAAAAGAACTAAGTTTACAGCGGTTCCTGCAGGATCTGGCTTGGCAGATGTGCTCATAAGTCGCAAAGTTAGAGAGCAGGATGGAAAGTGCCTGATGTTCAAAGTCAGAATTCCCCAGCCCCGGGCCTGGCTGCAGTCCCAGTGTTATCAGGTGCCCTGAGCTTTTGTTTCCGCTTCTGTCAAATGGGCTTGGCAGAGTCCCAACAGGCTGTATGTGTGAACCCAAGGGACACCACCCTGATGACAGCGCCTGGGTAGAAAACAGACATCAACTGGGGACATTCATTTCCGCCTCCTAGAGTCCAATGTCAACTGCCTGTGACCTGGACCTTGGCCTGCCTGCCCCTGGTCGGCTCTTCTGGTAGCTTTCTCAACCATCTGTTATGGGAGCTGGGATAAAAAGAAAGTACTGAAACAACTCTGGCTACTTCATATAATTTTGGAACTAGTTTTGTGCTGAAAGATTATCAAATGGAAACCATTTTGCCATTTTCAAATTACCTTTGATTGCCTAATTCTTAGATGGGAAATAGTTGATGAAGCGACATTTTGAAAACTTCTGTTGGAAGACCCTGCTCCCTAAGTCTGTGTATATCCAAGTAGAATGAGTGGAGTAGAGTGACGGATTCTGGCTCCTCACTATCTTCAAATCTGTTCCTGCCTCTTACTAGCCTTGAACAAGTTACTTAACCTCTCTGCTTCCTGCTTGGTAAGTAGGGAAAATGAAAGCACTTATGTGATTTTAGGGATAATTTGTTAAATTAGCAAGTGTGAAAGACATAGAACAGTGGCTGGCCTGTCATATGTGTGGTGCTTGGCTTGGTCCTTAGAATAGCAGTGGTGATTGGTAGGCACTGAATAATGGCCTCTTTTGGATGGAGGCTGTGCTGCAGCAGAGTGGGCAGAACTTGGAAGGGAGATTAGGACAAATCCATTTAGTTCATACCCCTTAGTCATTGCAATTGCAACCTTTATCAAATCAATTTTCTTTCCTGAGAGCTATGGACTTTGCCTGGGCTTTCCCAGCTGCCCAGAACTGAAGATTGGAAGGAAACATGAAGCTCAAATGACAAGTAATTAGAAGGAGCTCACTTCGAAAACTAAGTTTGCTTTTCGATGGAGCTTTAAATGAGCTCCTGGGAAGTTGATTATCAAACGCTCACCTGCACCAAATGCCTCACTGAGAAAAGCCTTCTTGCAGTTCAGTTGTTTAACTAATACACAGGCCTTGTCCCCCTGGGTCTCTACTGTGTGGGAGTCATAGGATCTTTGAATATCCCACAAAATCCCAAAGCAAGCCCCAAATCTCATTTTAGAGTTAGAAGGGAACTGAGAAATCTTCTCATGACAAGCACTCTTTCTACAGTTGAAGAAATAAGTCCAACGGGGTTCAGTGATTTGCCTGATGATGCTTATTTAGCAACTGGCTGAGCTCAAATCAACACCCCACTTCCCTCTAACTCATCTTCCATCTTCCAGGGGAAGAGAGGGGGAAAGAAAGCTGCCACATGCACATGTAGAATTTTCCAGCTTTCTCCCCTCTCTCACACAGAAAGAAGGATAAACTGATCACATACCTATGAAACAATTATTATTTAGCAGAGAAAGCATCTAGGAAAAGCAATGAATCACCAAGTGTTTGAAGTAAAATTTTATTAGGGATAGGGATGATTTTCCTCTATTTTCACTTCTCAGGACTCCATCCTGCTGCTCTGTTCAGTCCTGGCGTGTCCTGGGTGCATGTGGACAAAGCATGGCCAGTTATCCAGTAGGTGGGGCTTTGCACTAGGAATTACTTTAGTAAGCCGTGTAACCTGACACAGGTGGCAGTTCAGCAGGTTCCAGTAAGGCAGGGCTCTAGCTTATCTTTCAGCACCTACCCCTTTTATATCTCTAGGAGAGAACAGGAACCACCCGGGAACTGGATTCCAGCAATGGGCCTCATGATTTGGCCATTCCATCCAGTTTGTGCTTTCTGACCCATGGTGGCTATGGTCCACAAAAGAGATGTCTGTACGAAGTTGAGGCTACCAGAGCAGCACTAATCTCACATTTGAAATTAGAGGGAAGATTACATAACTGTTTACTCAACTTGACAGGTCCTTGCAAATCACCTGCTCTGTTCCTCTCTGAATAAACAATGCTTATTGGTAAATGGCAACGCCCTTGTTTGACCAGGACTCCAGAGCACTGTAATCAGCAATTCAGGGGAGATTTTACCAGAGGGTTTCCCACTCCATCTTTAATTTGACTGGGTTATCTTTTCTGTTCTTCTGTTACTTTAAATGTGACATCCTACCTCTAAAGGCCAGACATTCCTCCAAAACTAACTTCCACCATCCACCAGCAGGGAGACAAGACTGAAAGAGATAAGATACAGGTAAGTCCTTATAATTAGATATGACTTCCCAGGACCCTCAGAGTGGTGCAGTGCTTGCATATTTCAGGGCTATTTTGATCTCTGACCTCTGCAGTCATCTCCTATGACCCAGCATCCTTGCACCATCTGAATGCAGCTTCTGTAGTTCAGAGGATCTCAAAAGTTTTCATTTGTGCCTAAGATCACACAAGATGAGGACCAAGACCCTTGCTGGCTAAAAACCCTTTAGAACTCCACATTTTATAAAATAACGTGGCCACCTGTGAGGTGAAGTGTCCTTTCATGTATTCTAACAATGCCGCAATCGCCCTCACACCCTGCCTTTGGCCCCTCTTCAAACTGGTGTATGGCTAGGGTTGTCTCTGAAGACTCCTCCTTTGGTAAAGAGATAATTTACCTGGACTGAACAGGTTAGCCTAGACACTTGCAAGCTCTTGAATTGATATGTGGATGTTAGTGTATAGGCATCTGCCCAGTTTTTGTCCCCAAAGAGAGAATCCTTTGGTCTTTTCAGGTGCACAAAAGAATGTATTACTCACTGAATTCTGAGAATGATGTCTTTTCCAATAAGGTGTTTAAGTGACTTACTATTTAGGGTTCATGAAGACACATGGACACACCACAAATTTCATATGTCACACAAAGGGCAATGGAAATATTGCCTAAGGAAACTCAGTAAATAATTCTTTCCTTTTTTATTCAAAATAAAATATTTGTACTAATGAGAAAGAATAGCTCACCTCAGGTGCTATCCTTCTATTGTTATCTTCAAAAGTAAAAAAGTCTGAGCACAGGACTGAGGGGGCTTCTGAAACTGGCTCTGGAAAAGGTAATCACTTAGAGTAGGGATTGTCACATGTTTTCAGGAAAGTTATATACTTTAGATAGTAGATATTTTCAGGTTCACCAGCCATGTGGTCTCGGTTACAACTGTACAAGTTTGCTGTTGTGGTGAAAAAATAGCCATAGAAAATACGTAAATGAGTGATTATGGTGGTTTTTAATAAAAGTTTATTTACAAAAACAGGTGATGGGTCACATTTGGCCCACGGCAGCAGTATGCTGATATCTGTCTTAAAAGTTTAAAGTTGCTTTTGAATGAAAACAATCAGGCTCAAATATCTGCCATGTGTTCCATGTCAAGCTACTTTGCAAAACCAGAGTGGCTGATCACATTATCCTGTTGGTGGTTGTGGTATTAAAATGAATGTAACTTTAACAAATATTTCTACATGCTGGACAAGTTTTGGGTGATGTTTAACACTTAACAGTTAAAATGAAGAGCTCCACAGGCTGTAGTTCTTAAGGCAGAAGACAAAAATAAAATTGGATTCTTTAAACTATGATTTATCTTTCCATGCAACTTAACAAAATGAGATTTTTGGCAAATGATTCATGGAAAACAATCCTTTTACCCCAAAGACTCACTCTAGGTGAGAAATACCTCCCTGATTCTCCACAGGTAGATTTCTATTTTTTCTAGAAACCTGATACCTTTAGAATCACAGTCTATGGCACTGCAAATACAAGAAAGTAATGCTTGCCAGGCTTCAAGCTGCTGCATGTCCAACTAGGGAGAAAAGAAATAACAATGCCCTAGAAGTCTACAGTTCCTTTGCTTCCCAAGGCTAAAGGGTAGAAACTCTGGCCTTCTTTTTACTCTCCACATTTGAAATAATTAGAAGGTTTATCTTCCAGTTCAATTTTTACTTTCACATGCTAATTGAAAACTTTAAAATCATTCAGCTGTGCCATTTGCTCTTGATTCTCAATACAGAGCTGACTAAAAGCAACCAACAATGCCCATTCTGCAACCTAAATGTTGGGCTGTCTCGAAATGCCTCCACCAGATTAATCAGTATGTGGTCTTAATCAAAGTTTCCCACAAAGTCTCAGGACATGAGCAAAGTATAAACAATTTTCCACCCGAATATACATACATGGTCTGGAGTCCAACTGCCAACTGATTTCTTCTTCCCAACTGAAATCTTTTGATTCTGTTTTTTACCATCTGCATTACTGTCAGTATTCTGGTCTTCTGGCCTATGACCAGAATCTCCCATCAAGCTTGGCTCACAATATTCTATGGCCACTTCTACAGCTAACATCTTCAAACTTTTCCAAAGTTCCCCCACGAACCAATTTCAACATCTTCTGAACCACATGTTCAAGTAGCAGCATAGCAATGACCCCACTCCTGGTTCCAAAATCTTAGTTATTTTATTTTTCAGTAAGACATAATATCCAACACCAGCAAATTAGAGGAGGAGAAGTTTATTTTGACTCACATTTCAGCCCATAGTCAGCTAGCTCCAAGGCAGGATGGCATGACACAGGGACATGGTGGAGGAATAGCTGCTCACTTCGTGTCAGACAGGAAGCAGACAACTTGATGGGAGAAGGAGGAGTGGGAGATACACCCTTCCTGGCCATGCCCCAAGTGACCTGGCTCATCCAACTAGGCCTATCTGCCAACGTCATGTTTAGCTATAAACTCCATAAACTAATCCACTGATGAGTATAGCACCCCCATGATTCAATCATCTCCAAAAAGCTCTACCTCTGAGATTATGAGACATTGTGGAGACATCTAGACATAAACCATAACAACATAAGATTGTGAAATTATATTTGCATCATTACAAAACATTTCTTGTGTCTCTTTGCAGTCAGCCACTCCCAGCCCTGGCCGTTCCCAGCCCTTGGCAACCACCGTCCTAGTTTCTCCTTTTCCAGAGTATCAGAGAAGTAGAATTATACAGTTTATACCTATAAAGATGAGATTTTTTTATAGTACTGGGGAATGAACACAGGAATGTTCTGCAACTGAGCTGTACCCCTAACATTTTTTATTTTAACATAAGTCACTAAGTTGCTTGGGCTGGTCTGGGACTTGTAATCCTCCTGCCTCAGTCTCCAGAGTACCTCATATTCCAGGCATGCACTCCTTTGCCTGGCTCTAAAGGTGAAATTTTAATCTCAAGAAAAGTTTTTCAGAAATGAAATATCTCTAAAGCCTTTTAAAGCTGATAGAGCAAAAAGTGCCAGGGTAATGGAATTCATGAAGTATTTTGCACATAAAATGTTATCAAATATTCTGTTGTCCATTGTTGGCCAGGCAAGGACTCCCCAAGTCCCCAGCAATAGGTGAGTCCATAGAGACTTACTGAATGGCTGCCTCATGCCAGAAACAGTACTGGGTAGGCTCTGAGCTGTGAGTGTAGAGCAGTGGACATCTTCTGAGCCACCTATGTAACCAATCAAATTCTGTGTAAAATCTTCTCTGTTCAGAACTGTTTCCCAGAGCCATGTTGATACTGTGTGATGTCTTGTGACAATAGTGGGTTAGATCGTAAGGGAATCTCCAATTTAAGTATTCATTCACTCAATAAATACTAATTAAGGCCTCTTATGTGTCTGTGAGGTTAGATCAATGCTTACACTCAAATTGGGGGGATCTGGCTATGTCTTCTAGCATTTTAAACTAGGAATAAGAGACAGCCGTCAGTCTGGGCTGGGCCACAGGGAGTACACACACAACCCATGCACCAACACAGTGAAGGACCGGTTTGAGAGAAGATGTCCTGAAGAGAGAACAAAACTATGCCTACTCCTAGTGTCCTGCCTGCCTCTTTGGCTGCTTATTTTTATTCTCCTTTATAGAATCTTTTCTGCTCAGCTACTGAACATTATTTTTCAAGGTCTTGATCCGATCCCTCTTTTCTTTCACTATAACATTTTATCAAGGTGGCACTGTCCACTGTTATGTTTCCAAGACTGTTTATATCTTGATGAGTCTCACATTTAGATGACCAGACTCTGGCCTAGACACCCTCCTTTCTATTTAGCATCATCACTTGGATGTACTTTCATTACTGAGCTCCTCATGTGGAAAACTGAACTTGAATTTGTGCTCTCACTCCTCATGGTAGGTAGAATAATGGCTCCCAAAGAGGTCCGCATCTCAATCCCTGAAACCTGTGAATATGTTATTTTGTGTAGTAAAAGGGACTTTACAAATGTGAGCCTGTTAAGGGTCCTCAGATGGGAAGATGATCCTGAATTCTGGGGCAGAAGCCAATGATATCATAGCAATCCTTATAAGAGGTAGGCAGAGTCATAGAGAGAGATTTGAAGATGCTACTCTGCTGGCTTTGAAGATGGAGGAAAGGGCCTGGAGCCAAGGTATGCAGGTGGCCCGCAGATGCTGGAGAAGGCAAGAAAATGGATTTTTCCCAGAGCCTGTGTGATTTTAACCATGTGAGATCCACATGAATTTGACTTGCAGACTGATAAGGTAATACATTTGTGTTGCTTTGAGGCCCTAAGTTTGTGATAATTTGTTATTGCAGCAATGGAAATGAACACATTCCCAAAATCTCATACCTTCCTGTTTTTTCTTTCTCTCTGTGGTGTCATTTCCCTCCTTGCAATTGTTCCAGGCAAGGCAGACTTGTAGGAATCATCCTCGACTCCTCACCTGCTCAAATCAACTATTTCCTGAAATCCTTTTGAATCCACATATTTCTTTCTAATACCATAAGCTAGTCTCAGCCACTATTTTTGCTCTAACAGATTCCTAAACAGCTCCCCTGCCTTCTTCACTTTGTTCTCTGCTCTGAAGTAAACATGAACTGCCTAAAATAAATACCTAATCATGTCATCCTGCTATTAACCTTCAATGGCTCCCCATTGTCCTTACGATAAATTCCAAACTCTTTAATGTGGCTTGCCAGCCCCTGCATTCTGTGAAACCTACTACCCCATCTAGCCCTATACCTACCTCAGTCACCTCTTTTTCTTTCTCCCTTCAAAATGTATATGACCTGCTGGCTGTACGATATTCTGGTTCCTACACATGAAGTTCTCCCCGTGCCCCATCCCGGGCCTCTGTACATGATTTTCTTCCTATCAATTGCATTTTTCCCTGGCCTCCATCTCTTTGGGTTCCTCTGGAAGCCTTTTTTCATTTTCTTAATTTGGTCTAAACACCATTCTTT